GATATGGCGCAGCACTACTAACTGTATCTACGCTCCACGTCCATCAAATGAAGCCTGTCTTTTTTTAAATCTCTGTTTGCTTTGCATCCAAGCATAAAATAAGAAAGAAAGATAAGATGAACTGGGTTCCAAGAAAGTGGCAGTTTTAATAATTCAGTTCACCACAGGAGGCGACTTTGATGTCTTACTTTGAAGAACAAGTGCATCTCTCCTCTGTTGATCTTTTCATCTTCCCTCATCAACCTCGTCAAAAGCCAGCCGACCTACCCCTCATCGTTCTTACTCTGCTTCTCTCCTCTGTCATCCTTCATTGTTTCTACCAACCTAAAATATTACACCTCAGTTTAAACAATGTTCTCCCTTAAAACTGTGTGCCTCAGGCGCTGGCTACCAAAGTTCAGACACGACTGGGTCGATTTATAGAAGTTTTAGTTTAACTTTATTTGGACAGTACTGTAAAAATAGTACATGAACTTAACAGGTGACTGAAGGTCTAATTTTATGTGAGTCTGATAGATGAACCAGCTGATTGCAGCCTCCCTGTATTTACACACAGACACTTTCCTTCAATGCTTTATCCATCTCGTTTCCAGGGATACTGTACAAAGGCAGCGGTGAGAATGTCTTCATTTCCCAGCAGCCACCTGTCATCAACAGCATCATGGGTAAGTATAGAATAAAAGCTTCCCAGTGTGTTTGAGCATGCACACACATAATCAGTGCTGGTCCCTGCATGCTGACTGCACATTTCCTTTAAAGCCTGTACTTTAATTGTTGTCTGTTGCATACATTTGTGGTCAGAGGTTTACGTAACTCATCGTGGTTTCATGGTAATTTCTTCTGAATTAAGTCTTTGAAAGGATTTTGTTTGTCTTGATTGTTCAGCACTTCTCCACAGAGCGTCAAAGCTGGAACATACACATACACAATCACTGATACTTGATCAAACCTCCCTCAGCACGTTGCACTTTGACCTGACAGCGTTAGTTCTCAGCAGCAAGCTGATGTTACACCTGGATGTTTGACCACTCTTGACATAACTGGTTGATCTAAATGAGTTGATTTTCTGTCACAGAGCTGTCGTTACAAATGTCAGTAGTACTGAGGTCACAGCTTTGGATACATGAACTGCTTTATTACAAAACCTGTTTTCACGTTTGTGTTTTCAGACTTCTCGTTGTTGATTTGCAGTCAAGTTGAAGGATTTAGTACTTGTCCAATATTTGGTCCACTTTTGTGTAATACACCCGCACCACTGGCAGCAAAACAGTCCTAGAGGATGATGCTGCCTCAGTTGTATGTGTAGCTGTTTAGAAATGACTTCAGTAGAGCTTCACAATGCTGCCAGTGTGTGATTCTCATCCTTAACTTGGTGAAACAAATCTTTTTATGCTGACAAGTACCGGATGTCACTAATGAGAAGTTAATAGGCAACGGCCTTTTCAATAGAATTCATGGTAGAACCTTCAGAAAAACACATTAACCCTTTAGAACCGGTCAGAGTGGGCACGCTCCGTTTTGCATAACTATTTTTAAATCCCAGTAGCTCTGCAACTATGTAAGGCAACGCAAAAAAATTTTTTGCATATGAAACCGGAGGAGTTGTACTTACAT